CGTCTTCGGGTTGATAAAGGCTCAGAGCAATAGAAGAAGCAAGGCTGACATCTTCTTAAGAGATGATAGGAGAGCCAAATCAAATAGGATGGAGCAGTCACTCTTTTCACAGATAGGTAGCTCATTTCTGGTGGTGAAGAGTTTGCATCCCTAGTGGCGCTCTGCCCAGGAAAGATAGCTCTCTTGGACTCCATTCATTATTTCATTTCTTGCCTTCTCTTTTCACATCTTAGCTACCCCCCCTCCCTTTTTTTGGTTTAATGAGTTGCCTATTTTTCTCAAGTGTTGATGGGGATCTTGGAATTTAGATTCAGAGACAAAATGTTTAATCACAAGCGTTTTTCATTTGTGAAGAAAAGGCAAAAATCAATTATTCCTATTAGACAAAGATGATTGGAAATGAATGGAAATGGTGAGATTTTGAAACAAAGGCTCTATGGAGGCAAAGATAAGTGTGAGTCTGCTCCCCCCAGGAGGCATAGGATGTGGTTTGGCTTAATAAACAGTAAGGAAACATTTGGTGTTAAAGCTTTGAAGAAGGCTGGATGGTATAAACACAAGAAAGTAATTAATGATAGCATTGTTTTATCAGGGATTTTAGAACTAATAGGAAATGTTATTTGCAAGGAAACCTGACATGTATCTAAAAATCATGCAAACTCAAAAAAAACTTTTCCCAGATTAGAAAAGCTCAAAATCCTTATGTGATTCTGCTGAATACCGTTTCTGGGTTTGAGCTTCATGAAAACTTGATGATGAGAACTTCACCGTCAAATGCAACACTTCATATTGGTATGTCCCTTTAAGATGATGTAAAGAGTCTACAGGTTAGGCAGTGATTAAGCCTGAGATCTGACATAACATTAATTCAAATATCAATCATTTCCTATTTTACACACTTTACATGTTAAAATTGTAATGACCAGAATTGCACAGAAAATGTTTTCTAGTGAAATTATTTCACAATATTAATTAAAAATCTGCAGTGCTTTGGTGATTGGGACTGAGTCCCTGAAGAAAATGGGGCTCATAAAATCCTGGACCAGCTCTGCTTTGTGAGGCTTGTCTGTCTTTAGTTTTCATAATTTCTTTAAAAGTATTTCATACAGATTAACTGTCCTCACGGTTGGCTCACTGAAGAGAAGAATTACATGTCAGATAAAGCATTTTATCACTACAGAAAGACCAGACATTGTATATAGAGAAATTTGAAAGGTGGTAGAAACAATGAATATTAAGTGGCAAAGTATCTAAAGCTGCTGACTAAATTGAAACAGTATATCCTGAGGGGGAAAGGTTTCCAAATTGCTAATTACTGCCTCTGAAAGGGGCTCTCTTTCTGATATGTTTGCTTGTGAAAGGATTCCACTTAATGAAGTAGTGGCTCTTTCTTTTTTTTTTTCTTTTTTAATATTCCCACTCTTTGGTTTTCCGTATTCTCTCTGGGCTTTCCTCCCAGGCCAGAACAATGGTGGACCCATGAGCCCAGCTTCCCCACAGGCCCTGAACGAGAACAAGCCAGGAGCTAGGAACTTCCTGAGCTGCTCGGCTTGCTGAAATGTGGAGGAGGCAGATAAGGGGGCAGCAGCACAGAGAGGCCCTCTCCCCTGGGCCCAGGGGGAAATTTGCAGTTATTAAGAGAAGATGAGAACGATTAAATGGCTTTTGTACTCGTTTTCACAGACTTTTCTTTTTTATTATTTGGGCTGTCTTCATCTGATAGATGAATGAAGTGCCAAATGACTTTTCTGCCTTATTCTGCAACAGCATTGGCTTTTGGAAGCAACTCTTCATTACCGACTTGACCTCTAAAGGAAAATTTTAATCCAATATTGTTTTTAAAGGTAAATTATCAGCAGAAAATACTCAGCAGTTACTGTAACTAAACAACTTTTTACATTGCCTTGTAAAGTACACAACTTGTACTCTTCTCATTTTGTCACATTGCAATGACAAACTTCCTTATATTTTAAATGGGTTAATGATATACCAGCACGAAATAATACATCAGTGTGACGGTAAAAAGAAAATGACAACCCAGAATTTGAATTTGTCTTTAATGCTAACCCATGACAATGATTTTATTAAAGACATTTCACTGAGGCTCTGGTTGTGTGTTTTGAGTCATCCTACTGAAGAGATATATGTTTCAGCCTGTAACAACTTTTCCTTCAGGATTATCCTGCATTAACTTATATCCATCTTCCCAACAACTTTTACCAGCTTCCCTATTTCTATTTCAGAACAGCATATCCACAGTATGACTCTGCCACTACCATGTTTCCCCACTAGAATGCTGATTTTCAATCTTAATTTTCATCTCTACATATCATTAGCATTCAAGCCCCAGGAGTTACTATAGCCTCTTAGAAGCTTCTGTGAGTAATGTTCACCATAGCCCCTCATGTCAGTGTACAAAGTTAGTCAATCAGGCCCTGGTAGATTTGTAATTGTGCAAAATTGTTTCCTTTTTTTAAATGAGCTGAATGAAGGGGGCTATGTGAGATATGGATATTGGCAGGTGTAGATATTACCTGTGCTAATTCTCAGTGATCCGGGTAATGGCAACCACAAAACAACAAGCATGCATGCAGCGACAGTGATGAGGAAAGCTTCTTTTTAACTCGAGCACAACCAGGCTCAGTGAGATCGGCCTTCAGCCGAGGCTGATTTGTGATTTTTAGAAGAAGGTGGATGTCTGTTGTCAAAGATGGCTTCCTTTTCTCTTTACTCTTTGACCAAGATCTGAACATCATAGTATTGTACTGCCTGTACCTGTTTTTTTGGTATTTGTGCCATTTGTTCACTGATGTTCTCAAAATTTTTTAATGACTGCATTTTTTCTGAGAATAATCAACACCAAAGGAAATAAATGTACAAGGTAGCTGACTTCAGAAGGTAATCTGTTGCTAGAGTTTTTTAAGGTTATGAAAAGAAGACAGACATATTTTCCACTTTTTACATTTCAAAGCAGCAATAAGTGAAATTCCACCTACAAGTTGGGCTGTCTGTAAACCAAAACTAGATGTGTGACAAGCGACGCCTCCCTCTATCTCCACTGCAACTGCAACCCCTTCCACCCCCAAGTAAATTTACTTGGGGCTTTACTTTCTTGGGGCTTGTGAGGAGTCATTTGGGTGACGACGGAGTACTTTATTCCAGCAGCTGCGGCAGTAACTGATGAAGATTCCGTAAAAATTCAAAAAATATCCACTGGACTTGGTTTTCAAGATTTGAAGACGTTTCGCCACCTCTCCAGGAAGCTTTCTCAATTCAAATTGAGAAAGCTTCCTGGAGAGGTGGCGAAACGTCTTCAAATCTTGAAAACCAAGTCCAGTGGATATTTTTTGAATTTTTACGGAATGACTTTGACCTGGATGACTGAGAACCTTCATCAGCATAACTGATGAAGAGGAATGTACAAATTTTGTTACCTGTATCTTACAATTTTCATAAAATACATTTAAAGATATTTTTATGAGAGAAAGTACAACCGTAATACTTCATATAGGTGGTCAGTTTGTCTAGAAATGGCCTACTTTTAATTCTGTGTTTACATGCATGCATGGCTGAACTGGTTGGTAAACATATGACACTGGAGAACAACACAGAACAATGGTGTTTGATGTCACACCATAGGCCATCTAAAAAGATCCCATTAATTCTTCACTATTTAAGTTCTTCCTATCTACAGTGATGAATGACTGCTTATGGCCCCTTTAATAAACTTTTTTGAAAATTATGCTGTGATGAAATTACTGATTTGTTTTTTCCTTTACTATTTTGGAGAGAGTAGTTCTTAGATTTTACTGTACAAATAATACCAGACAATAAAGTTTGCAAATTATGATTTCATTAATAAAGCTTCGCTTTCTTGCACCTCAGCAGTTACAGCATGAAAATGGAGTTACGACAAAGTTTCGGGTCCATACTTTAAAGGTATATTGGAGGATGCCCTTTTTCTGGGTGGATCATCAAAATGAGTGGTCCTCATAAGTGTCAATCATTCTGGTGATATGTTTATGTAAGGCTGTCCTACGTGCTTGTCCCAATGTTCACTTACCGGTGGTAAGTCTGACATAGATGAAACACTGCAAATCTTTTTTTGGAAGGCAAGCTTGTATGAGCGATACAAAGAGCAACTTTTAAACAGTGTGTGCATGAGGAGAAACAGGCTTGTGCATGCCTTCATACAGGGTACAGGTACAGGGTTGTGCATGTGCATTTTTTTTTTAGTAGAGAGGGTGAATATTTGTGAAACTTCTCCACTATACCTTTAAAATAGACTGTGAATTAAAAAAAAAAGTAAAATAGAAGCTCACCCCGTAGCAGTACACTGGACACCTTGAGACCCTTGCTCTATATCTCCCTTGCCTTTGCTCATTTCCTATCAAAATATTCTCAATAAAAGCTATCAATACTGGAAGGATTTGATATGCTGAAATAGTTTTGTCCAAAATGATTTTGGTTTTTAAGCTATAAACCACAATAATCAAACTTAAGGTAAAGCCTTGTGTTATTACACTGTCTTTAAGATGTATGCTCACTAAGACTAAGAAAGTAGAGCACATCACTCCAGTTCTAAAGTCCTTACATTGGCTCCCTGTATCCCAGGGAGCATATTTTATTTTTTTCCTACTTGCCTTGATTCTGTTTTATTTTCCTATATTTTAATCATGTAAAGCACTTTGCATTGTCTTTGTACTGAATTGTGCTATACAAATAAATTTGCCTTGCCTTGCCTTGCCTTAATAAAAGTGATGTTTACATTTCCTTAGATGCACATACAGATGTGAATGAAACATTCAAAACTAACAAAACATGAATGAAACAATGATGCATCACTAAAAGGACAGTTTAATGATCATATAATTAGTCAGAATGAATCTATTAAGATCATGAAGCGGAAGTTAAATTTTTATCTAGGTTTTGGCAGGCTGACATGTGACTTCCTATCTGTGGAGACTGCGCTCGTGTTTTGGATGACGTGACGGCGAGGCGGGGCCACCTGATTGGTTGCACTGCAGGGCGGAAGTGCGTCTGTTTCCCCAGCTGAGTGCTGAAAACAAAACAAGTCAAGCTGCGACTGGTGAGTCCTCAGAGCCTTTGGAGTTTCATTGTTTCTAGTTTTACAGCAGATCTACAGAGAAGGTGTTTATGTAACTCTGACCGCTTTAAGCGCCTATAAACAGCTCGTTGTGCTGACAGGTTAGGAGCTGCTTGGCTGTCCTTGTGCTGAGCTCACATGTGAGCTGTTATGCAACACCTCAGAGCATGCAGATTACTACAGCATGCCTCTGCTGTTGTTCTGCTGCAGTGATGCTGCAAAGCTGCACTGCAGTATCGGCTGCTTCTCTGCTCATGAAAACATTTCTAACCTGTCTTAGAGGCTGGGAAGGTGCTCTTCTCTACACTGGCGCGATTTAAAGAGAGAAGCTCCTAGTTTAAGCTGTTATCTATGAAAGTCTGCAAAAATAAGGAATCACATGTGGACTTAAAGAGAAACCAATGGGATTTAAAATCGAGTATATCAGCGCCAGAAGCACATTAAAGGTATATTAGCACAGGTATGTGTGTCTTTTATGGAATCAGAGATGCATCCATTAAATGACCAGAAATGGTAAAAAAAAAACAATTTCCCTTTGACAGGGGCGCATTTAGGAAATTTGGGGCCTTAGGCAAAGACAGGCAGGGGGCCCTCTAAATTGAGAAGACAACACATAAAACAGACCCATCATACAGATACAGAAATTTTAATAGAATAGACATACATTATTTATTCTATGTTTTTTTCTCTCTTCTTGTCCCTTTTCTTGTTGTTTTCCTCTCTTTTTTGTACTTTTCATGCTGTCTCAAAAGGAATGAAAGATTTTTTTCCCCAAGCAATAAGCTCACTAAGCTAATTGCTCCTTCCTGTGTCTCCAAAAAGGCGATGGTAAAAGTGAATAACACAGTCCTTCTTTTCACTGTAGACAATCCATGGTCTGCTTATCTGTTCTCCATTTATCATTTGAATGAAATAATATATCTGGAAGTAAGTCTGCGCCCGTCTCCTTTTTTTTGGAAAGATCCTGTCCTTCACCTGGAGTGGTCCTCTCCGTACTATCGAGCAGCGTGCTCGATCAGACAGCTTCTTTGGCCACAGTGCTGGGTCATCTTCCAGAAGTGCACTGCTTACTAGCTGAATGGATGATGCTGGACTAGCAAATACAAACAAAATTCAAAGCTTATTTTAAAATGACCCATCTTCAATAAGATAAATAAATACTTATAATCACCAGTAATTCATCTCCACACGACGGACCCTCCTTCTCAGGTGCCAATGTTACATCTGAGACTGCTGCTGATTGGGTGTTACTGCTGCTGGTGTTTGCCGCTGCCGCAGTGAAGAAGCCGAAGTCAGTCATTTTTGGTAACTTTGAAAACAGCTTCCTACTTTCCTCCTTCTTCCTCCACTTTTCTGCACCGCTAGGGCAGCTTCTTTTCATCATTCTTTTCTTTTCTTTTCCTCTCTTCTCTTCTCTTCTCGTCTCAATTTTGGGCCGTCTGTTTGCAACTGGGTTGCTTCTGTGCTTGGACCTTTCTGAAAATGTGCAGCAAATTGACTGATCCAGTGTGGTGGACACTGAATAAAAGCATTATTATATTAATAATAGAATAGCTGCATTAACCATACATGTAAAAGGAGTTTGATGGGGCACCCCAGGAACTCGGGGCCCTAGGCAACTGCCTATGTTTGCCTAATGGTAAGACCACCCCTGCCCTTTGATTAGAATCCTAAAATGAGATAGAACAAAAATATTTTATATATATATTTTTTTTACTTTCTCACAGATAGAAAAAAAGGTAAATGATAAAAAAAATTAATAAATGTTTACACGAGAGCAAAGCATTTAAACAGTATTTCTACTGTGGTTCCCCTTATAGTTCATCTAGGGGTCAAATCTTTTAGTGCTGGAGGCAGGGACTGAAGTGATTGCACAAGTGGTTTAATATGTGGTATTTAAATACGTGTTTTCTAATATTGTGCGGCATTTAGTTAAGTATGATTAAGTTAATGTTTGGCTCATTAAAAAAAAAAAAGTTACAGGCTTGTATTAGTTTCTGGTAAGTGTAGAAAAAATAATGTGAAAGTAAAAACATCTAAATTGCTGCACATCTTAAATGTTAATTTAACTCTTTCTCTTTTTGTGCCCCCGGTTTCAAGCATCATGATGGATGAGCTGGTGCAGGACTTGGTGTCTGCACTGGAGCAAGCCTCAGAGCAGACCAAATTAGGGGAGCTGTGGGAGGAAATGGTCCTGAGTCCGTTGCAGCACCGACGGCAGATTCGCCGCCGCAGAGGTCGGAAACGCCTTCACGAGTCCTCCATCTATCCTGTGGCTTGCAGGCGTCGCTGGAACGAAGCGCCTGAATCTAGCATGGATGAGGCCAAAGAGTACAGAGAGAACTTATCCTCCTCTTTTTCCACAGCTGTGGCAAACTACAGTGATTCAGACGACATGGCCACTGCCGACCACTGGCCTCATGTTGCCAGGGCCCCTGTCAGATCAACGGTCCCTGGCAGATCCAGACATCCGTCCTGGCCAGAGTCTGATTCCTTCACTGATAGTAATCCAGGGCAGCCTCTCAGAAGGCGCAGGAAGGTCAAGCGTATGAATTCAAACATGACAATCAGACTTCAGCAGAAGCTACATGACGGAAGGAAGAGGCACAGGCCTTCTAAGTTGCAACGTTTATCGGGATCTAGAAGAAGGTCAAGCAGTTGGACAGCAGCCGAGAGACAGGCTGAAGGAGGCAAAGTGATGGGAAAGGAGTGTTGGAAAAGACAGATGGCCAAGGAACGTAGAGATGCTCCAGATGAGAATATGTCTGATGGGTAATGTAAAATCTTTTTTTTTTTTTTTTCAGGAAACAATTTTAAGAGTTTTAGTTTCTGTATTTTTTAACCTAATTTGAAAAGATGAAGGGTTTTGAGGCTGATTCTCTGGGTTGGTAATAAAACCATAATAATTTATATGACGAGATAAGCTCCTCTTTTTATTTACTCTTTATTTTATAGACTCCGCCTAGGGGTCTGGAGCCCATTTGTTTTTAGAGCTAGTTTGCAGCTTTTCTGAAGTTGTTTTTGCTACTTGCAGCATTTTCTCTTTGCATTTTTTTTGTGTTTATTTTTTAGCTTTATCCATGTGTTTTCCAACAGTTTTAGTGCATATTCACTTTGCTTCTACCCATGTCCAATGATTGCAGCTTTTCTCTCTTGCAGCGCTTTTTAGCATTAGCATGTGTTATAACAACCTCCATTTTTTCACTGAATGCCGGTTGGTTGTACGGGGTTTAAGTGAAGCCAGTTGGCCGCCATATTGGTACTCCCTAGTTAGACCGATCGCAATGTAAACAATATGTGCGCAACAGCATTAAAGAACAATGATGTTCTCATTCAAGTGGGATTTAACTCTTAAAATAAAGATAAAAATTCATCACCTGGACACACACTTGCTGTTTCATAGCATAAGTAGATGACTTTAACTTATAATAAAAAAAAAAAATAGGCACATCAAATTGCATAGTCATGAAGTCAATGAAGTCTCAAAATCACGTAATATAACATATACAAATCCATCACCACAATATTGTGTTAATGGAGCATAATTATATAGGTGTGCCAAAATTGCTAAGTTGATGTACATTTAATAGACATGTACTGATGACATTGTTATGGTAATTACATATTACACACAGTTTCAAGATCTTACTAAAAGATTGAATTAGACGTACATGTCTGTTAATATTGTAGTATTTTTCTATTTGCAAATTGTGCATGCATGATATATATATATATATATATATATATATATATATATATATATACCGTAAATCCTCTAATATAGGCCCGGGCCTTTATTTCACTCAAGTGCATCGCGGTCCAGGCCTTTATTGGAAAGAGGCCAGAATTAGAGACAGGCCTCTATTGCTATTTGAGCAAAACAGACTACCAGTGTAATGAATAAAAATGAGATTTTGTGTCTATTTGAACCTATAAAACACTAGGTTCATTTATTGAAAAAGTACAGTTACCATGTCTCGCTTGGTTTGAAGTAAAAAAGAAAAAAAAATCCTCCAATTCTGTTTAATCCTCCTCCTCAGTCTCCTCCTCCTCTTCATCTCTCACTTTAATCTCCTCATCACTCGCGCTCCTCCTCATGTTCTGCTGCGTGTCTGTTCTCTTCCTCGCGCAGACGGCAGCAGTCAGGGCCTGTCGTCCAGCAGCGCAGGGCTGTGGTACTTGTATGTTACTACCACAAGTATAATGTTGAGGTATGCCCAGAAAAAACGTTTATAGCCCCGGCCTGTATTAGAGACCGGCCATTATTTACCTCCTCTGACAGCGAGACCGGCCAATGTTAGAGTCCCGGCCGCTAATGGAATACAGGCCAATATTAGAGAATTTACGGTATATATATATATATATATATATATATATATATATATATATATATATATATATATATATATATATATATATATTAGTGGTGGAATGGTTCACAAAATCCACGGTTCGGTTCACGGTTTTATGGTCACGGTGTTCGGTTCGGTATATGTTGATTGTTAGCCGGACATGTTGGTCATGTTGCTGTTAGCATAAACAAAACGTGTTGCACAATGCTTGCACACTGTTGCACTTTTATCTACAACTTTCCACCGTCATCGTAGGTCACTCTAATGCTACATTCACACTGGACGCAGCAGGAGCAGCAAAAACACGTCTGCTGCTTCCTTTTGCTGCTTGTACCAGGTTTCAGCATTTTAAGTTAATTTAGGCGTTAATAAAACTGTTTCAGAGGAGTGATCATAGAGCTATATATCATCAGCGATGTGTCTCTCTCCCTGCCAGCTCCCAGATCAGCTTCTGTGATTGGTTGATGCGGCGCGTCAAGCAGCAAAAGTTAATTTTTTCCATCTTGAGCAGCAGCGCATTTGCGGTGCGTTAAATGCTTAAACGCTCCCGACACGCTGCTTCAGATCGCGCTGTGAGACCTTTTGCTGCGCCTTGACGCGCATCAACCATTGACTTTGCATGTAAACTTACATCCGCATCCGGTGTGAACGCAGCATGAATGTAAAGTGGTCCCATACAGCAGACCTATAAAGTGCTGCTGGTGCTTCTTCCAACTCCTGTTCTTTTCCACTCGCCATACCCACACAATTCTCCACAACAACTGATTTCTTTCTGCTACACCACTGCACTCCACTGCTTCGCTTCTTCTTCTTGTTTACTACCGGTGGTTGGCTTTGGACTTATTACCGCCACCTTCTGCTTCTGGAGACGCTTCACTATGAGAAAAAGGAGCAGCGCATGAACCGAACACAACACACGCGAATCGAACCGAGAAAGTCGAACCGAACAGTTTGGACGGTTTTCATAAACCGTTCCATCCCTACTATATAGATATACTATATATATATATATTTATTTGTGTGTGTGAGGGTCAAATATTTGAGTTGTTTTGTTCCTTCAAAATAACATGCAGTATATTTCTTTATTTATATTTATTAGTCTACTTTCTATTTTCTAATGTTAGACACAATGGCTAACTCAGTCAATATCTTCAAGTCAGTCTGAGGTAGCCAGTATAATGTTGAGCAACATACTATACTATAGAATACATCGGCGTATATATGAATTTTCTTGGTTAGCACATCCACTGTTTTTGTGAAACGTCTTGCCAGAGCCGGCAAACTGCTTGTTTTTGCACCAAAATGCTTAACACATAGGCATTTTGACTGCGCCCTCCGTGGGATTCGGTACCAATATGGCGGATGGTGGCTACAGTTTTTTCGGGCAATCAGCAATCCAGGGAATAAATAGAGATCGGTGCGTGTGTTATGTGCTACTCCCATTTGTATTTCTGACAGGTTTTGTATTTGTAGTGGACATTCACTTTGCTGCTCTTTACTTTCCATTTTGATTGCAAAATTCTCTTTTGCAGTGTTTTTTTTTCTTCCCTTTTTGGATGTGTTTTGGTGCTTGTGTGCAAATTTTTGGTTTGCAGTACGCATGCATGTTTTGTGTATTTGCAGTTTGCTCCCACCTTTTGAGCCAACTTATTAACTCCATATTTGCAAGAAATTATATTTATATAACCTATTATTTCAGTGGGATTGAATACAAACAGACACCCCAGTTTTTACTTGAAAAAGTTTACAAACCATTTATGCTTTTTTTTAACTTTAGACATCTGTGTTCATTTTCATAAATACCATATCATTAGAATTAAAACACAAACTGATGTTTAGATTTTGATGGCTGTGCCACAAACATTTCAAGAGTTTTGAGGCATTGTATTCAGTGGAAAAAAGATTATAAACAAGTTACATTTAAAATGATCAATACAAAAGTCAATGAAATGATCAATATTCAGTAGATCCTCCGAGTCTAAAATAATATTCTCCGTTTTGAATTATTGACATTAAAAATGAATGACAATCTTCATCCTTTTATACCTGATGATTATGAGGGAGGAATCTTTGGCATTTCTGCCTTCAGGCATCCCCAGCTCATTATTAAGTTTTAAAGACTTTGCCACAAATACATAAGTGACTTGGTCTGGTATTGATTTGTTTTGAAATATTTGCCTGACTTTGGGTGGGTAATTAAAGTTCTGTTTGTCCCACAGCCCAAGAGTGCACTCTCCTGTGTACACTTCATTTCACTAACCTAAATGAGGATCTTAGGTCTAGCAGCAAGGGACTTTAAACTATTAAACTGAACAGATTGTTACACTGCATATAGTAAATCTATGAAATAAGCAAGACCTTTAGTTTAACTGTGCTTCTGAAGAACCGCAACAGATATGAACAGCTTAAGACCTATAAGGTAATAAATTTATTATGATTTCACTGAATGCCTTTACAGAACATTTTGAACCTTTTTGTGTTGAACGTTTGTGACTATCATGGTTGGAAAAGATTTACATTGCATTAGCTTTCACACTTTTATAGTCGGATATGCAAATTGATAGGATATGCAAATTGATAGGCAGCCTTTGGTTATGTGACCTGTTCAGTGCCCCCTCAACATTTGACATGACAAACCTGGAATTAAACCCACAACTTTTAACTTGAAACATGAGAATGTTTCTCACAGAGTCAGATAAATACCAAAACACTGCATTTGTCTGTCTATTGTGTTTTAAAGCAGCTCACAAAAAATGTGTGATCAAAAATGCCCAGCTTTTTATTTATTTTTTATGTCATATAACAAATTTAGTTTCAATAAAGTTTTAACAAAAGCATATGGGGAAAACTTATTGACACCCCTATCAATCCCTATAAATCAGTTGTAACTTATCAATAATTCCATCCGTCCGTCTTCCCCAACTTAATCTGTAATGTTGGTGCTGGTCCCTCTCTTATGCTGACTGTGGGAGAAAGGCAGGTTACACTTTGGAAAGGCTTTCCAGTCCATCACAGGGCAACATGGAGACACACAACCATGCACCCTCTCACACACACTCACACCTAAGGATAATTTGAGAAGTCAATCTACCTAAAAGTCATGTTTTTGGAGGTTGGGAGAATGCTGGAGTACCTAGAGAGAACCCACACATGCAGCAACATGCAGAATCCATGCAGAAAAACACTGTGGGGAATATGTATAATTTAAATATTTACATATTTTGAAAAACATATTCAAATTATTAAATATTATTTGAATAATATTTTTTTCTGTTGATAATAGTTTCTAGGTACTTTATTACAAATCCATGTTTGCTCATGAGGTATTCATTTAACTTGACTTAGACTGCAATATCAGCATCAAGGCTGAACCAGGACTCTTTTGTCTTTCTAGTCTCATAGAGGAAAATGGTTAAGGAAGGTAAAAAAGTAAACCATTCTTAAAGATGTCAACACAAAGCTATATCCTTGTGTCCCCACATCAATATTAGTATGGGTCCATTTCCCTTTCAGGTGCCTGGGAACCTTATTTAGCTACATGGCATTATGAGTTTATTCTAATTAAAGGATATTTTAAAAAATGTAGAAAATGTGTATTAGCTCATAGATCTGAACCATATAGAAAATGTGTTCTATGCTAAGGCAAGGGAAGAAAAGGAGAGAGGAGCCAGTGCTCATATCGATATGTAGAGAGAAAGTAGCATAAATCTGTCTGATTTCTCTCGTATTTTACCTTTTCTAATTTTATGTGTAGCTATTTTATTTAAGGTAATATATAACTCTAAAATGAGATGGAGTTGGATAACAGGCATCCCATTTCATGAACACAAACAAATACAGTCTATGACATGATGCTGGTATAAGTTGTACAGACTTATGTCTATAGAATTATTCATAAAAAAAAAAACTATACATGAATTTTAGATGGAAGCTTTAATGCAAGTTTAAAATGTCATTGAAATCAAGCAATCTACGTAAATCAAAGGATTGAGTTGTCTTTGCAAAGCAGATTCTGGAAAAAACCAAGGTCCAGGATTAAAAGTAGACTTGAATAACCCCTAAGCATGTGTCCAGAGATGTGGATGATCTTGGTTGATGTCCACCTTTGTCATTAGAATATAGACTTTTAACAGACTTAGTGAGTATTTGCATTGTACGGCCCTGTGTAGAAAGTTTTTATGTTATTATGTATTGGTGTATTATGATTTAAACAGAAGGTTATCTGCTAGCTGTATGTATTTAAACGTATTTCCCTTGTTATTTGTGGATCTCATCACCATCTGTTCACCCAAAGCATGCATGCACTTGAAGTAACTGTTAATGGAGCAGAGAAAGCTTTATGTCTTCAGGTTTAATTTGTGCTGACCTCCCCAGCCCCTAAACAGTATTTGTTTTCTTACTTTATGGGAAAATCAATAGCCGTTCTGACAGAAAACAGCCCAGGAGAAGAAATAAATGGGAGCACCTAAGCGTGCTGTCAATCATTTCTCACTTACACAACTGCAACAGTCTTGATTGCTGCTCAGTGGACTGCCACTCTGTAGTGAGGGCTGAACAATCAAACAGTTAAGCCTTGATGGAGGCAAAGGGGTATTAAAAAATGGCAGCAGGGATGAGGGGCTGACAATGTTACAACAGCAATATTTATGCTTTGAGGCTGTGTGGTCCATTGAATGTCAGACACGGATGCCATTGTTGAACCATGTGGATTCCTTTGGTCTCTTTCTAACTGTTAACCTTTTCCATTTGGAGTGTTTGGTCTGCTGAAAAGTGCCCCTCCTCAAGGTCACTCTCCTTATGTGCACACTGAGTAGAGCTTTGCCTTCAGCCAGCCGAGTGCGAGGAGAGCAGATGTTGAAGGCTCCAGTTGGACTCCACATCCTTGATTAGACCTGGCCCAGCCTGCTGGCACTGAGGCCACCTGGCACCCAGGCTGGCCAAGCAAGCAGTCCTAACCTGTGGGTAGCAGCGTCCAGGGCCCAGCCTCCGTCTCCAGCTGTGCGCCACTTCTGTTGATGTTGACTTCTTGCAAAGAAACGCCCCCCAAAAAGCCTCTCAGAGCTCGCTTTGCTCTTTCCTGTCGTAATTTAGATTTTGAGAACTCCATGAGGAGTTTTTGAGGAGGCAGTTCAGCGTTTGCTGAAGTTAATTTTCATAAATCTCTGAAACTAATCCAATTACTGCAGCTCAGGGAGGGTGGGATAACCTTATAATCAGACACCAATGGAAGAGGGCACAGATTTGGGCTGCAGCAACTTGTTTGAAGAGCCCACAGATCCATTGTTATCAGCACTTTACTCCCCTCCACTGCTCGTCTCCTTTATTCCTTTGCAGAAAGAGCCAAGGCTCAATAAATGGTGGCTCGTCTGTAATCTCTGTGCAAACCGGTCTGCCTCTCCCAGGAGCTGAGGATTATATCCTAATGATTAGTGCTCATCTGGATACTGTGTTTGACTTCTCCTCTTTAGCTTGTGTAGAAACAATTGGGCCATATGGGGTATGAAGTTTATCTCCCCTAACTATGGAGTTTTTGCCCTTGTTCCCTTGAACATACAGTGTCTTCATGAAGTATTTATGACCCTTGAACTTATCCCTTTTTTTTTTGCCACCTTTTAACCATAAACTTCACTGGATTTCATTAGGATTTTATTTGCCAGTCTAACAGAAAGGAGATCACATTTGTGAAGTGAAAGAAAGTGATATGTGGTTTCCAAATTGTTTAACTGCGGGTATGTCCTCACCCATCTTTGAGTCGGTACCTCATGGAACCACTTTTCACTGCAGTCGCACCTTTAAGCCTTTTTTACCTTTATTACTACCTGCTTTGCTTATTGAGAGACTGAAATCTTCACTTCCAACTTGGTCACTTTGGACTGAATACCTCTGTGGAGATCCATTTTCAACTCTCGTCATATGTTCTCAGTTGGGCTTAGGTTTAGACTTTGACTAGGCCATCATTAGGCTTGTCCCGATCCGATCCACGTATCGGATCGGGACGCCGATATTGGCAAAAAAATGCGTATCGGGAAAGCATGTAAAATGCCGATCCAGACTGCCGATCCAGTTTAAAAAAAAAATCCGGTCCGTATTTTCCAGTTTCGCCGATTGAAACAATCCATTCCACTGTTTTGCATTTTTATTAAAACTTACAGTAATACTTGCACCTTTAACTGTTTACAGTTTTTCTGTTCACTGTGCAATATTAGATTGCTATTCGTAATTTTGTCCAGTTTGTGTTTATCTCTTAATAAACAGGTAAGTTTGTTGTTACCAAGCATTGTGTTTTATTCAATCTCACCTGATTTAGCTGGCTAGATGTTATCAAGAGTACTAAAACCTTTTTCAACATGAGTCTTACAACTAAGGCTAAATACTTTAACTTAAACTTAAATACATGCTCGGATAGGCTGGTATCGGCCAGTATCGGTATCGGATCGGAAGTCCAAAAACAATATCGGATCGGAAGTGCAAAAACCTGGATCGGGACATCTTTAGCCATCATATCTCAAAAAAAGCTTTTTTAATCTTTTCCAAGCCATCCATGGTAGCTCCATCTCTTTATCTAGGATGATCTAAAGCTTGAATCCCTCCAGTTTTTTTGTTTTGTTTTTCAAATTCGATTTGAAATTTGATTGTTTTGCAAACTCCAACAAATTTTCTTCCATTGCATTATTTGACACAGATGACTACTTAAGAGTAAGTAGATAAGTTTATCTTTAAAATAATAGGTTTGTAAGTTATAGATTATATAAATTAGTCAGTACTTAAAGCCCTCAAAAAAAAAAAATTAATAAGTCTCTTTGTTTAATTGTTTTTACCCGTGTTTGCCAGACTTGTCACAACATTTCTCCAAAATACTGGGAAAGGAAACACGTAACTTACTGATGCTTAGCACAGTACTGCTAGGTACTGTAAAAGTTCGAACTTGTGTCCTCTAGTGATGCTGATGTTTGGTGTGCATCAAATGCCAGCAGATGTTTCCAGCTGAGGAGCTTCCTGGGGAATCGGTCTAGAGAGACGGGGTCAAAGAGGCTGGATGGGGGTGAAGGGGCTGTCCAGGGTTAGGCCAGACATCTTCTAGATTCCCTGGAGAGGCTGTCTCCACTCTCACATCTGCTTCTCTTAGATGTTTAGGGAGATGATGCGGGACCATATGGCCATAGACTAGAAGGAACGTTTGTATGAGCGTTTTCTTATCCTGACGTCACACAGAGGCCTCTGCAATATGGCAAAGCTCTCTATCAGCACATATTGAACCCTCCAGGTTTGTCTTGGAAGCAAGGTCAGAGATGATAAACAGGAAGCAAACTGCAAGACATTCTGTATCATAATCCCAAAAATATTAATCATAGATGGACCTTACTTTTTTAATGAACAGCATACAATGAGTAAAACATTTGTAAAACAAATACTAATAAAGATCAACGAGCAACAATATATTGACTGATGCCTCTCTGGTTCTCAAAGGAGTGTTCTGTTATGGACACAACAGTGTTTCATTGCTCAACTGGAGCCTTAGCATAACAAGCAATAATTGAAAATGCTTGTACAAATTCTCAGTCATGTGGGTTATGGTAACAACAAAGCAGTGCTAAGCTTCTATGGTGGAATAAATGAAAATTAATGACAAGAAGCCAAATACCAGAGATAATGTTGCTAAGAGAAAGAGAGATAAATATAATAGAATCTCCATCATTCACTGAAATGTGAGGAAGACAATGAGAGTCAGAATAATGAGGTTCAGGCCCACAGAGGGCATGGAGGGAGTGTAAAGGGTTTGCCGGAGGGTGTGGAGCGGACCAGCAGCGGGGCGGTCGGGATGGTAAGCGACAGCAGCCCACACAGCAGATGTCAGCCAGTTGCCTCATGGAAGTGGTGGCATGTCTGGGGATTGCTGTGTGTGAGGGGCACACCCAGAGGGAGGGCGGGTAGGGGGACTGTGCTTCTCTGTGCTGTCATCCTCCACAACGTAGGCCAGATTAGATTGAAGCTGACAGCGGAGGATATTCAATTAGATTGTTCATGTCACTCAGTGGCTTCGATCAGAGTCCCTCCTGATGCCTTTGTGTTTCCCATCGCATTGAGGCAGAAACACAGCGCTCTGCCTTTTTGTGTAATTTCTATTTATGTCGACCTCCTGCTCTGCTCTTCATTTTTTGTTACTCAATGCTGCATTTTAGATATTGATTTCAGACAAGCATATGAAATCTTAATTTACACTGTACAGATGCCTTTAAACCGACCTCTAGAGGAGATCCTGCTTGAAGTGACAAATAAAAACAGGTCTTATATTTTTTTCTCCCCTTGTCTCTCTCCTTTGTAGGGAAACCAGCAGCACGTGCAGTAGTGACCCCGGTCTGTTCACCAATGATGAAGGAAGACAAGGTATAACACATGAATCTTCCCTATCATATATAGTTTTGTGGAAGTTTGTAAAGTGTGGTCAGATGAGAGGGCCTTCGCTCCAATCTAAGAAAATACTGGGGCTGTATAAAGAGATTTGGCTACAATGGGCTGGTTGCTGGGCACCCAGGCGACTCTAATAAGACGTTGTCATGTCGTGTTAATGAGCGCTGAAGCCTTTGCTAATCTCATTAGCCGCGCTGGGGCCAGGCGGCCTCTGATTTAACAGTTGTCACTACACCTTGACTGTGAGAGGCATGGTTCCTGTGGACACCATGCTGAGTGACAGGTCTGAGATCAGTTAAATGTTTGGGGTGGTCTGGTGCTGTGCAGCTCACTGCAAAGCTCAAGACAGTTTTTGATTTTCTCACACTGATTTTCTTACTTTCGTATCATTTCTGATCACACTATCCATGTCTGCAGGTGATGATGAGCAGAGTGACTGGTTCTTTGAAGGGGACTGTGGAGTTGGACTTCTGCCCAACTGGGACTCTGACAACCCGCTTTCGCTGGAGGACAGACAACCCTCCAATTTCCTCCTACCTGCGCAACGCTCTGTCAGAGGTAGTGTAAGCTTTTTTCTTTATAGATATAAACAAGTGAGGATTCTGTGGTGTTCAGATCTGGACTGGGCAACTAATTGGATTTGCAATATAATGGCAATTTTACATAAAGCAATTTTCATTACATGTAAGGAGTAAGACAAATACATCACTTCAATCCTTTAGGTAGAATTAAATGACTTAAAACGGGTTTGCAGCCCCACAAAAGAGAAAAGAGAGTTGCAGCTAGCTTCTTGCGAGCAGAAGTAAACACTTTCCCCTGCAACAGTAAAGCCCCTGAACAATGGACTCTGTCAAGGTCATGAAGACAATGAAACCCAAAAATAAAACTGCAATCACAATTTTGGTTTCAAAATTTGGCAAAAGTTTGGGTTTCCACCAAAATTGTTCAGCCCTAGATCTGACACTATTAAGGTGAGTCTCGTCATTCCTGCACAATTTGAGAAAGTCACAAATGCAACAGTTTCCTGGTCTGAAGTAAATAAGTAAATAAAAAAGTAAAAGAAAAAAAAAATGAAATCCTGATGATGAAATCCTTCCTTCCTTCCTTCCTTCCTTCCTTCCTTCCTTCCTTCCTTCCTTCCTTCCTTCCTTCCTTCCTTCCTTCCTTCCTTCCTTCCTTCCTTCCTTCCTTCCTTCCTTCCTTCCTTCCTTCCTTCCTTCCTTCCTTCCAATTTTGCACGCTTGCCTAAAACTTCAACTACTTTTTTGTTGTTGCAAAAACTCTCACATTGGTACCAGAAAAATAAACTTTGATTTTTGTTCAGATAATGAATAAAGTCCATAGTGATCTTTATAGGGATGTTCATTTTATTAAGTTTTGTGCTTTTTATTTGTTGCAGGGTTTCATTCACATCTTAAACGACTGCCTTGCTCCACTGCCTGCTGCATCAGACGGGACAGGCGGCGTCTTCCTAGAAAGGTAAAAGAAACCCGTCTTTATTAATGGTAAGGCAGCTGAAAAATGTGGTAACAGCTTTGTTTTTGTTCTTTTTCCTGTTTTCTTCTGCTGCGTAGAACAATAACATACCAGTGTTTGTGGAAAGACTCAGACATTTCTCTGCAGATCACAGCCAGAGAAAGTAAGACACTGGAATAAATCATACTGAATATGGTTTTGCAGTGTGATCCTTACCTCTCACTGTTTCATTTCAGATTTTGGCTACCACCTGTTGGAAAGCAAGACAGAAACCAGGTATGCTGGGAAATCACATTTTTATCTTTTTACAGATTTGCCTTGATTCTATTAGTTAAAACTTTAATGTTTCAAACTTCCAGTTAAATCCTTTGTGCCAATTACAGATGTGTCCCAATGACATGATGATGTCAGAGAGCTCCCATCTCAGATGTTCCCCCTCAGCCATCAGAAACATGTAAGTAATAAAACATGATAGTTAATGTAGCATTGTTGTGGTTATAATTGTCTATATAGACATTAACTTGTCTATATAGTTTAGAAATATCTGCATATATATATATATATATATATATATATATATATATATATATATATATATATATATATATATATATATATATATATATATATATATATACAGTATATATATATATATATATATATATATATATATATATATATATATATATATATATATATATATATACCATTCATACCCCTTTAAATGTTATTTCCTTTTCTTTCTGACATTACAAACATATTGGGTTTATTCACTGGACAAACAAAGTACCTTTTAGCAACCAAAGGGTAAATGGTATTCATTTCAGAATCTGTTTTTTGGGTAAGCATTAATTCTTCTGTTCAAAAGTCTGCCTGTTAGAGAAAATAATCCTAATAACAAAAAAAAAATACTGTTGAAAGAAAGTCCCATGAAGTCTAGTTTTATTATTTGATGCTGACTTTGTAGTGGAAAACATGGTTTTAGATATATGATTATAATTGTCCAAACAGAAAATGCTGTATGCACCTTTCCTTAATGTGTAAGTGACCCATGGTTGGGAAAAACATGGTTTTGGGAATATTCCTTTTAAAACAGGACATTCACAATAATACAATGCTTGATGTTAGTCTGTTTCATTAAAATGTAGTAATTATATAGATGATTTTGGTTGTGATGTGAAAAAATATATTATTACAACTTCTAAGACATTTAACTAATGGGAACATTTTTTTTGTATGTTTTTAGCTGTGAATGGCAAAAAACAGAGATTTTTTTAATGTTGTGTAAGTATTTATAGTTTTTGGACCATTTATAAATGTGTTTGTAAATAAAAAAATAAAGCTTGTAAGTGAGCTATACACAAATGAAAGTAAGTGACTGAAGTATTGCTCAAATTCAGCTCAACTAGTTTTCAAGGTCAGATTCCACAAATAGAGAATGCTTTGTTGTCTTAATGTTGATTTAAATTCTACCATTTCTGGGTTGGCTAAAAAAAAAAGAAGCATTACAGAAATCGAAAAGATGTTTGTCAAAGCGTCTTGTCGCTCCCAGTCTTCCCTGGAACAGTTGATTCTGCATGTGGAGCTGCTGAGGAACTGAGCAGCTCTCTTGGCCTGGAGACTGTGGGACTTCTCATTGTGTTGTTTCCACTCTGCCTATTTATGGTGCATTCTTAATTTTTGTTTAACACACACATGCAGCCCCACACACACACATCTTCTCCTCCCCACTCTCTTGGGCTATTTCACAGAGCGCCTTAGCTCTCCTTGATGAGGGGCAAAAACACGACTGCTATGAAAAGCCCCCGACTTCTTAGGGCTTTCTTTTCTAAACTGGCCTTTTCTTCTCCACCTGAAAGGTTCCTTAAGATTCCACTTTAAGGCATTGTGAATACTAATTTCTCCTATTAAAAAAGCCCTCATATCCCTGCCTTGCTCTCATTTGAATGACGGACTCAGGGGAGATCTCTTAATTCCTTTATAGTGGGATTCAAGACCCTTCACTTCAAAAAGTATAAATCATACTCCCAAATGAGTGAGGGAGAGAGAGGGTGGGGATTGACGAGAGAGGCTTCTGATGTGTTTCGTTGGACGGCACGAGCTGAATCCTTCTCCCCAAGCTGTTCAAATCCACTCTCCAGTGATATGGCTAGCTTGTGCTTACGACCTGACTGGGTCATTCAAGTTCATCCCAAACAATTACATGCAAACAGAAATGTCTGCTTGTGTCTGCAGTTCTGCCTGCCTAACACATTTTAAGAGATCTGTTTTATTATAACACAATACCGTGCAAAACTAATGACACATTTTGAAATTTTTTTCACTATACAACAACAAACATAACTGTATTATATTGTGATTGTATGCAGTGGCGGCTGGTGGAGTTTTCTCCAGGGGGGTTTTTATTCAAAACAGTGTTCTTTAAATCAGTCCTACCTGTCTTTATCCATGCTCGGTCAGATCCTGAAGTTTGAAAAAGCGGCAGGGAAAGCAGAAAAAAGTGTTAGCTCCGCTACATGCAGTTAGCCAAGCTTTCTTGCTAAACCAGATCTAGGAAAGGGATGTTTCTTACGCCATTTCTTTCTCTCTCCAATGCATCTCCAAATCCTGTGACTCAACCTGTCAATCACGTGCAAAAAGTCTGCGCTATGGCGGGAGATGGTGAGCAAATACACTGCCTGTCACCTCGGGGCGAAGCTCTCCGGAGCATGTACAACTTGTAACAAGAGTCTATGGACAAAAATATTTGTGCCCCAGGGCGGAAATACGTCACCAATCCTGGAGAAAAATGGAATGACGCTTTACTAGTCAATAAAGATTAAATATTTATCTTGCACATATAAAATACATATATTTCTTAATTTTTTAAATTTAAATTTAAGAGTCAATTATAATTTTTTTTTCTATGTCTTAATCAGGGTCTTTGGGTGGGTGGGGCGGCACCATAGCACCCTCTATTGGCCGGCTGCCACTGGTCTATTTGTTCTGGTTAGGTGGAAGACACCAACCACCATCACCCTAAACAGTTCTGCTTATATAAATCTTAAGATACATGGAAAGTCCTCACATCCATCTTCGTCTGCTTATGGTTCAGGTTCGAGCAGTCTATGGGCGAAAGATGGGGTACACTCCAACAGTCAACAGTCTATTTCTATTTATGAACTGCTGGAGGAAGCCGCAGTACACGGAAAGAACCCATGCATGCATAGGGTGAACATGCCAACTCCATGAAGAAAGACCAAGACCCTATGTTGGGAATTGAACTAAGAACCTTCTTGCTGTAAGGCAGCAGTGCTACAAACTGCATCACCATGCAACCCACATATTGAAAATCTCTTAAAAATACAGCTAAAATAACGTTGTCTGCTGGTTTTATTCTGTGAAGAGTAACAGCAATTAATAACTGTTGCGTCTGAGTTCGTCCAGTATAGAACACCAAACAAACTGGCAGTATCTGCCAGGAGAACAGATTGCTGGACTGCATTGCCTTAAATGGGAACGCCGATTTTTTTTACATTGGGCCCTTGATTTTACATTATTACATCATGTTCTACTCACCCATATAGCGGTGCGCCGGACTGGAGTTGTCAAAGGGCAGCCCGGGCCACAGACGGCTAAGCTCTACCCGTTATATTCATTCGGCTAGCTAATCTGAATCGTTCAATTCCATTTCGAGAGCGAGATCATCTGTGGTTGTAGCACTAGACATCTTCCAGGCATGTGAGTAAAACTAGCAGCAGTTCAGCAGACAGGATGAATGAATGGTAGCCGGCGCGCGCGGATGACGTCATACACACTCCGCTTTGTTTAAAAAAAAATATAAATATAAAAAATATAACCGCGGATGTCTGTGGGACAGTGATTCGTCTACATGTTATGAATGCTGGCGTACCATAAATAATAAATTATGAACAGTTTAGTTTTTGCCTTCAAGTCATTGCCCATAGAAAGACGTTACTTGGATATAACCTAACCGAATATCTTAAAAACGGCTCCAAATGATACAAAACTCATATGGGTGAGTAGAACATGATGTAATAACTTAAAATCAAGGGCCCAATGTAAAAAAACAGTGTTCCCCTTTAATTATTACATAACACCAAAATAAATTTAATTTTACTCAATTACCTTACCTGTCCAGTCGAAAGCCTGTAACCTCAGCATCCGTCTTAAAATCTTGCTTCCTCATGATTTATCTCCACCAGGTAAAAGTTACGTCGATTCAGACTCTCTTTTCTTCAGGTAGTTACTTTCTTTTCTTTTCTCGGTTACTTTCTCTTCCCTCTGCCTTGGCAGTGAATATCGATGATCCTCCATTTCAACAGAAAATGACAAGTAGAATAATTTCAGGTCGCCTTTTCTTGTTTTATGTTCCTTCATTTATAACAAATGTTCATATGCATATAATGATTAAAGCCACTAAGTTTTGTCCCCTTTCAGCTGTTATAATCAAAGATGGTACTGCAACTTAGTATCTGTCATTGGAATGCTGGATACAAAATGTTTAATCTGTGATTTTATTAGGTTTTGGCAAAATATGCATTTATGAAAGTACTTGTTTTTTTGCTAATAAAAAGCCAAATTAGCTAGACACTGTCCTTTTATGACTAAAATCTAATAGCACTAACAGTTATTCTTAGATATTAAGCTTAGTGTGGCAGTTTCATGTTGTGGGGTGTTTGCCAGCAGGTCTGCTGTATGGCACCAAATTCTGGGAAATTAAGGAGTAGTACTTTAAGCTGGCATATTCTGTTGTAGTATTGTTAAGTAATGCAAAGTTATTTTTGATTAAAAAAAGTACAACATTTCCCTCCTAATCATCATTAAATCTATTTATATACAGACAGAGCATTTTGTAGGATTTAACTACAATTTAGACGGTCACTTTAAAATGCATAACCACCTCCCACTGGAGCTTCTCTATTGATTATTTTATTCCTAAATGACACTTGTGCTGTGAGATAAATCATAGCATTACACTACTCCCTTCCCAGTTTTCATTTTAACTGTGAGATCACAGTGTCAGCAGTTAGTATATTGGTGTGAGTGGCCTATTGATTATTGATTTGGAGCAATTGATTATACTCCCTGGAGAGCCTAATCCTTTCTGATTCATTTGAATTCCTCTATTAATCTTAAGATCCTGCTCACAACTGAAGCAGCATGAACACTAATGAAAATAGATGGTCATTTTTCTAACTGTGGCTTCTCCCTCCTCTTTTGATTTATCATTTCTAATTGATATATTTGCTTTTGTATGTGTGCTCCAAAATTACAGCTGACCCTGTGTCAATGCTGTTTTAACTCTGCACCCTGAGGGACTTCATTGTGTTTTAAAAGTGTCTTATATGACCTGAAAGAAATCTATCTTGGGCACAATTTGCTCGGTGTCCTTGTGCCTTTGATTGCGTTTAGCTGTTGTTGGCCCCCGTTTTTGGTCCATAGAGCTTCAAAGTCACTGTCTGCTTTCTCATCACAGTTTCAGTAAATTTAGGTGGAGACATCTGTTAAGTTTTAGAAAACTGATTAAGTAACAGATGTTAAATAATAATAATGCCACACATTTTTTATTTTTCTACAACTACTGACACCTGTGTACTGCTGATTAAAAGTTGTGCATTTTTACTGAACTAATCTGTATTATTTTCCTCAGCTTAATGATCCAATTTAAAGTATTCTCAAGTTTGATTACGATATTTTTGAGCACCTCAATTGGCTTCAGATGGCTACAAATGGCTTTGTCTTCCATCACTCTGGGGCAGGATAGGACCCTTTCCTCCCTTCAGGCTCCTGGCCTGCTGCATGTCTCTGCCTCAATGCAGTAGGGAAAGAGATAGAGGGATGGCTCTCCATACATTAAGGCCAAATGCATCACGGTATTACATTTAATGCCGCAGGCGTGCCTTGTGAAATAATGCAACGTTTAAATGTGGATCGATTTTGGAATTAAAAAGTTAGTTTGCAAAGATTTACTGTGAGGAGTTCAATGTCTGAGCTCTTTATCAGAGCCGCAAATGGCTGGTTATGTGCTGTCCGACAGAGGTACGATTGAGGGATCGATAGGCGCGTGATTTACTAACTGGAGTACAGGTAATCAATAAGTATAAAAGTAAATGAAATATGCATTACTGGGATTTTATTAGAGAAAGGTAGCAGGCAGAGAATAACGGTCAGGCCATTTATTTTTATATCTATTGATTATACAACATAGGGACTTCGCTCAAAGGATGCCCTGAACAGCTCTCAACACCCAGCGCCTGCACACCCGTCATGTGATTTATGGGAGTTGAGGTCACCGGACAGTCTGCCAGTTAAAAGGCTGGCCTTACAGGACCTCTCTGGTGCATGTGTCTGTAAGGGATGTGAAGCTTTACGTAGCTTGTTCCTAAAAATGAGGTTTTCTCTTTGCGGTTCTCTGCTATTTTAAGATGCTGTCTTAAAGATTTACTGAAATGTTCAGTATGCAACACTTTCTTAATGTCTGACTTTTTTAATTTATGAAAAATACTCAATATACTGTAGTGAGGAAAATAAGAAAGCAGAGTGAATGAAGAAGGTGAGAGCAAAGCATTTGGTAATGATCCAGATGAAGTGTGAGTTTAAGCTATAGGTGTGAGTCACAAAATGGGGCAAAATTTGTTGCTTGGCGGAGGTCTGAGCTCTCGGAGTGCTCTTCTTGTTTGATTATGTATTTTGTAATGTGTTTTAAAAAGAACTGGGTTCTTAACTTTGATTTTGTTTAATGTTTTTTGTTAATCCACACACTGCCAAAATTATACATAGAAATGTTCTGATCCTTCTTGATAATTTATGTAAAAAAAAATCCAAACAATGTTCAGTAAGGAGTTTCTCAGAGAGGAGAAAAAACATTTAAACAAAGAGGAACCCGTCCAGATGACCTACTCAGTTTCTTTAGAATATACATACAAATACTCGTACCCCTTTTAAAATTAGCAATTCAGTAAGTTGAGCCAATTCTTTTTGCTTAACAAGGTGATGGTATTTTTGGACGGATGCTGTAGCATACATCAAGTGTCAATGATGGTAGCATCATCATCATCATGCTTTTGAGCTGTTTAGTTGTGAGTAGTATTTAAAATTTCACATGTCACTGGAATAATAAACCTCAAACTCTATAATTCACCTGAAATCAACAGAGAGGCTGATATATTGAATTTTATTTTGTAAAAAAATTATCCCAAACACACCTTAAAAGATCTTTAGAGCTAGAAGTTGGCTTATTTGAATTTTTAGAAAGAATTTATATCCTCAAAAATATTAAAGATTTATAGAAGTTATGACCTGAGGCCATTTTGGTTACATAATGCTATGCACTTCCAGGTTGTTGATATGCTGGCCACAGCTGATAGCCATTTCAGCTCCACCCCTTGATATGGCTATCCTTTTTTGTCTCCTCCCAGGGGACATTCCCTTGAGTAACAATAGCCAGGCTTTACCATCTAGTCCATCCCATAAAACCAACCAGTTTGAATTTAAATGTATGAAAAGAGATTTTATGCCAAAAGGATTTTGGGGACATAAAATGAAAATAAAAAAAAAATGCAACTGGTACTGTAAATTGCTAAAGGACAAGATGATAAAAATATTTATGATGTATGAACAAATTTTACCTTGTATGTAAAATTTTGACCTCAACATCTAAACTTTTCCCTAATCTGTTGTTTTTTAACTATTACTAATGTACCTAGTATGCTTCAAAAATAAAAACTTAAAGATTACTGTGACTTAAATCTGCACGATGAGCATTATTCCTGGTTAGGACCATATGTAGAAGATCAGTTGAAGGTAGATGGATCTTTTGATCACCTTTGCAACAATATGGAAAATGGAGTCTTGGCCTGCAGAAAAAGTACAAAAAGTTATCAGCTGTTAAAACTTTTGCAAAGGACTATATAATGTTAAATAAAGTGAAAGACAGCATAATTACTAATTTAAACCTAAACCCTTTGGTCTTTTCACTTCAAAAACCACTTTACCCCCCTCCCCTTCAGATAAAGCAGCATTCCTTGATCTTAAATATACATCTCTGCAATTCAATGCTATTGAGACCTAACAAGCACACAGGACTTTGTGTTTAAGTGAACATAAAAATGGCTCTGAATCAGCATTTTCTACTCATTAAAATATTCAGCAGTGGAAAACAATGTATTAATGAAGAAAAATGTTAACATGACAAAATTCATGTCTAAAAGTAAAGTAAATGTGTTTGCAAATGTGCGGTGCTGGATTTTTATTGACTTATGTAAAATGATTTCATCATTTGGGTGATGTTTTCTTTTCTGTCTTCGGTGCTCCAGGCAGATTAATTTCGTTCCAGGAATGTTGTGCTCAGCAGACGTGCGAAGGAAGAAAGAAGCAGAAGCTGTATTCATCACAACATCAGGTAACAGCCTCCACACACTGACACATCTGCACTAATTTGAAACCACGACTTAAAGATGTTGAAGAAGGTATTGTTTATTATAAAACAGGTGTTATTTTGTTGTTAAGCAACTTGGACTAGTTTTTTTTTATGCTGGAATGGCAATTTAAATGTTTACAACTCTTTGAACTAAACTTTGGATTTATTTAATATATTTCCATTAAATAGCAGCTCAATGGGTTAATGATTTACTTTTGTAGAAGTTACAGGAGTTAAAGAAGCATGTTGTTCCTCTTTCCTTATAATGCCATTTCAGGAAGTAATTAAGAAATTCAGACTTGTGATAAATATGACAGCAGAAGTGTTTCTTTTTTTTAAAAAGCAGGATTATTATACATGGTTGTTGCACAGGGTATTTACATGGGTATTTAAATAGATGGGTATTTATTTTTACAACTATTGCACTGGGTGTCATATGTAAAGGAACAGGTTATTGCACAGGGTTAAACTAATTGCACATTGCACAAGTTATTGCCGTTGTAGGGTCGCATTGTAGAGTCTGGTTACAGCAGAGATTTACAAACAGGTGAAATGGTTCCTCTGTTTCAAAAATGGTAATGTGTCGCATTGTTTATTTATCAATCTTAAACTATTTTTTGTGTGCATCCCAATCAAAAATGTTGATTTATTTATTTAAAATTATATTTAATAACCAATAGTTTTGTTGCTTATTTGCCTTCATTTCCAAGGTAGAAACATCGCATAAGCAGCTCTTTTCAGTGCACTGACTTCCAGAACAAGCTGAGCTGTAAAAACAATAATAGCAGAATATTCCACAAAGGTTTTTTAGATCAAGTTCTTATTGACAAATTACCCTACAGGAGAAAAAATTTCAGCACGAAATTAAGCCTTCATGCTTCCAGGTTTAGACATTTCAATTGTTCACATAAGTGGAAGGTTAATTTCTGTATAGATGGAAAAATCTCTACTTTTATTTAGGAAAAACAACTATGCACCTCTTGAAACCCAAGAGAAATGTAACAATGAGCTAGAAAGGTAAAGAAAATGTATTTATGGACTTGTACACAATTATGAAAAAATGCGTCTATAAACCTATTACATTTTACAAGGTTGAATTTATTACATAATCCAAACGTATGACAAAATGCATGGTTACAAGGCATTACTAAATTTAAATATCCGTCCGTCCATCCATCCATCCATCCAAATCATTAACTTTAAGGAAGTTAGAAGTCTTTAAAAGTGTAGTGTATCTTCATGTAAAATAAGTACAAACTGTGTTTGAAAACAAAAACACACTATAATTCAGTTATACATGCAAAACTGAACTGTGTGAGCCAAAATCCCAGGCTATCAACAGCTTCACAACTCCACACTAGTCCCGTGTTTCATTGTCTGTTTTTTTTTTTGCTTCACATCGTATCGTCATTGTTAGACACACCCAGTCAAAGCATGGTCTTTTTGCAAGATAAAAGTCAGCATATTAACTACACAATCTACTTGAGTGGTATTATAGGCTCGTATCAATAAAACAGTGGTAGTGGGGGGAAATATGAAACTGACATTTGTGACAGCACAATGCCTTTTTACAAGCTACTGGAAAAAAAATTCCTTTTTGGTTCCTTTTTATGCAGCAGAAACAAACCTTTACTGTCTGCATTTTGAATATATTCACAGTCTGAAGCAACTATATTCACAAAGCTTCCCAACTAAGACTTAAAAATATGACAAGGACACAGTTTAAAATAAACTTGTTTTTAAATAAATTCTTAATACAGTTTGTAATATATTTTTTTTAAATAATTTTTGATCTCTAATGTATTTTAACTTTTAATTTTAAGGCATTAGCAACTAGTTCTGTGAATTAGAATTACATAGGAAGAATTACGTAATAACAAAACTTCTTTATATACCATTATGTATTGCAAATTTATTATTTTTGTTTTGTTTCTTGTGCAAATTATTTTTACTATAAAGATTGCATGAACCCATCCGTGTAGCTCTGGCTACCGTATTTTCACGACCATAAGGCGCACCGCACTAAAAGGCGCACTCTCAGTTATGTGTGCCATTTCTGTATTTAACACACACATAAGGCGCACCGGACTATAGGGCGCGTTTTTTATATACAGGTACATGTCCTCTACTACCTTTAAATAGCTCTACTGCGTATTTAAAAATACAGCGGGAGCAAAACTGAGTATGACTGTGCTTTATTCATGTATTTATTACAAAGTATTAATCAAACCTGGGAGCTGGCCGTGAGACAGACACATCGCAGATAACAGAGCGCTGTGATCACTTCTAAATTAAATTAAACTCCTGAAACCTGCCGACGGAATATGTTCGCTTTCATTGCCGGTATCCTGGTGCCTGCAGTTTAAATTATTTAGATGAAAAACACCTGCCAGCCACCGTGGTGAACCCGGAGGCTACCCGGCCTAGAGGCTGCTGTTGAAGGGATTTCTACTGTCGGCGCACCGCTGGTATGTGGGGGTCTGAGCGGCTCCGACAGAAATAGTATAGGCACGATGATAATCTGGATGAACTGACTGCAATGATTACGTTTTCAGGTGGACTTTCTCACTTAAAAACATATTAAAACTACTTTATTCCCACTGATCACAGCAAGTATAGCTGCAAGATTTAGATTATTTAGATGAAAAACACCTGCCAGCCACCGCGGTGAAACCGGAGGAGACCCGCCCAGAGGCTGCTGTTGAATTAAGTTTTCAGGTAGAAAAATAGAGCGGGAGCAAAACTGAGTATGATTGTGCTTTATTCATGTATTTATTACAAAGTATTAATCAAACCCATCAAAGTCATCATCCTCTGTTTCTGAATTAAACAGCTGCGCTAAATCAGACATGCCAATTTCCCCTTCTTCTCGCTGTCAGAGTCACTTTCCGTGCCGCGCGGCTCCTCAGAAATGATGCCGGCTTTTGCGAAAGCTCGAACAACAGTTCCAGCAGACACGTTAGTCCAAGCATCTACAATCCATCCGCTAACGGTGGCGTAACTTGCCCGGTGCTGCCTTCCACTTATCGTGAAACTGTGGTCTCCGTCTGTCATCCATCGCTCCCACGCCGCTCGCAGCCTTACTTTGAACGGCTGGTTCACACCGATGTCGAGCGGTTGAAGCTCCTTTGTCAGACCCCCCGGGATAACAGCGTTCATTTGATTCACCTTTTTTTTCACATCGGCTGTGAGATGGGCACGCAGTCACAGATTAACAGCGATGGTGATGCTTGGAAAAAAAACACCTGGTCTCCTCACATACACCTGCCTCAGCCACGCTTTCATCATCTCCTCATCCATCCAGCCTTTTTCATTTGCCTTAATATCATATGTCATCAGAGTGCTGTGTCTGTCTTGCTGTCAGCTCCCAGATCAGCTTCTCTGATTGGTTGATGCGGCGCGTCCAGCAGCAAAACTTCAATTTTTCCATCTCGAGCAGCAGCAGCGCGTTGGCAGATGCTTAAACGCTCCCGCGCAGCGCCTGCTGCTCAAAACGCGCTGCGGGACCTTTTGCTGCGCCTATACGCGCGTCAACCATTGACTTTGCATGTAAACACGCTGCACCTGCTGGGTCCGGTTCACACCGATGTCGAGCGGTTGAATAACAGCGAGCACAGCTTTAATTTGTTTCACCATGTTTTTCACATCAGCTGTGAGATGGGCACGCATGGAGTCACAGATTAATGGTGATGAGTGGAAAAAAAACACCTGGTCTCCTTACATTCAGCCACTCTTCCATCATCTCCTCAATGAGGTGGTCTCAAAAGTCGCAGTTACAACACACATAGGGCGCACCGCACCAAAGGGCGCACCGCACATTTTGAGGGGAAAAAAGACATTTAAGTGCGCCTTATAGTCGTGAAAATACGTTATATGTTTTGGCTTTAGACCCTAGGGCAAAGGGAACCTTCTCTTCAGTCCCAAGTCTTCTGCGGCCTGTAAGAGCTTTTCGTCCATCCATCCTCCCATGGACTCTGAGAAGCCTCCTCCTAAAGACAAAAAATCCCTCAGCATGATACTGCTACCACCATAATTAACGATTCGGCTGCCTTGTCATGATATATTCTGTCACAGATTGGATTTTCCTAAAATTGCAAGGATTTGGTCCAATAAACTATTACAAATGTGTTGTTAGCATTCAATGCAAAACTAATAATCCTTCAGTCAAAGGGATAGTAAACAAAAATCGAATCCAGAACTGATGCAAAAATCAGTTCAAACTACGGTACAAGCTGGTTAAAAATTACTTGAGGGCAAGGTTAGGCTAAACACTTGAACAGACTGAAAGATGAGCTTGCAGGGGTGAGTTATAAATATCAAAACACACAACAGAGACATTAAGATCTTAAGCCAGAAGTTGACAACAATAGGGTTTTTCAGAGGACAAATGCAGCTGGGAGTGTGTTCAAGAAGTGAAGGCAGGAAATAAAGTTCAAGAAAAAAGAAAGCAAAACAAGACAATTTTGAAAGGCTTAACCAGGTAACCTGGGCATGACTGTATATGGGTTTTCTTTTGTCCTCATTCTGCTGTTCTTCACTAATGTTCTTTAAAAAAATTAGATTAAATTGTCCACAGTTTGGTGTTATTCATTAATTACACATATTTTAAAGGCAATTTTTTATGTCCTGTTTTGCCAATATTTCTCTGGGAATCAATGTCCTAGAGCTAGATGACAATCCAACACATTTGCTTTCACAAGCAGACCATTATGGTTGTTGCCATGAGGTTCCACTTTATTGAAAATTATTTAGGGAGAAAAATCTTTCACAACGGACACAGAGATGGAAATGGAGGTGAGAAAGAAATAGTGGATAAGAACTAAGGGAATTTCTGGCTGTGGACTTTATTTAGGGGTGAGCTGAAAACTAATACAGTTCACAAATTGTTAAGGAAACTATTTTTGAAACATTATAGCATGCTCTTTTTCTTCTTTTCACAATTATGTGCTACTTTGTGATTTAATCTTTCTATTAAATCCCAG